CCCCCCCCGGGGCTTCAGCCTGAGTAAGCTCATCAAATGTCACAGGAAAATGACAGGCAGAGGGACAGTGCTGAGTCCCTTAGGGAGGCTTGAGACCCTCAGAGAGAGGAAACCCCTCAGCCACGCTCCCTTAAAGCCCAAACATGAAACAAAGCAGGGCAGGGATAACCAAAGAAGACTGTGGGCAGTAACATGAACAATGCCACAATGCCAAAATGCCACTCTATGGTACAGACACAACTTTCTTTTTCAGAGTATGGATACTGAAAACCACTGAGAAACAGCATCAAGCAAACAAAGAACCACAGAACCACTGGCAGGCACCTGTAAGGTCCAAGCATTATGTTTAAATAGTAAGTAGGAGGTTCCTCCTAATCTAGCACCTACTAAATGTATCTTCTAAGGGCAAGCGTGATAAAGATACAGATTCAGAGGCGTGGAAAATGGAGGCCGCTAGCATCACAGAGGTGAGTCCCTGAGCACACATGCCCTCGACTGCCCGCAGCACTCAGCTGGGGCCGCCTTCCTACTGCGGCCCCGCTCCGCGGAAGGGGCTGTGGGAGGAGGCGGGCGGCTCACCATGGGGAACAGGCCGAGCGAGTGGTAGCGCCGCGAGGTGGCATTGGGCATGGTCTTGTTCCGGAGGTTCTTGAGCTCCTCCTGCGCCTCGTGAAGCATCTCCATGCACTCTGCGTACTTGTCCTCCAGCTCCCGAAGCTGCAGGAGACCAGACAAGTGCAGGGGTCAGGATCCCGAGCGCCAGGTCAGAGACAGCTAACAGAAGCTCTGGCCTGGGGAGGGGCCGGGGCCAAACCCCAAGCAGTTCCCCAGCTTCAGTTGGCATTTCACTTGGGGAAAGCTGGCAGACTCAACAATCTCCAAAAACACCAACACACGGACAGGTAAGATGAAAAAAAAAACATCCTGAATGTAATGGGAGTCAACTGTGATCTCCTCCTTTCAAGTCATCTCTGAACAAAGCTCCTTTTATGTGGTGGGATGGGTCATCCTGAGGAAGCTGGGCACCCCAGGATCCGGGCTGGGGTACAGCCTGGCCTCCCAGGTGCCGCAGCTGCTATTGGCAATAACGGGAGTTGGAACCGCCTTGAGATGGCGGATGACACTTAACTCAATCTGAAAACATGTTAAGGTGGATGCCACCTGTGAGCAGGACGCTGGTGAGCCCTCACTGGGCCCTGATGAAATGAGGGGAGACTCTTACCTCAGCTGTGAGCTGCCGCTGGGCGTCCTTGGCAGCCCCCAGATGCTGGACCAGTTCTTCATTTTCCACGGCACACTGAAACATTGCAGAGGCAAATCAGCACCTCTTTGAAAAGACTGCGAAGAATCTAACTTCTATCCTATTACAAGATTACTGTGATCTTATCACATGTCTACAATGAGAACTTTGTCTTTTATACTTTAAGATTTATTTATTTATGCTTACAGAACTGAGGTACAGGCCAGAGTTGTGGTGAGTGAGAAGATTCACCAGAGTGGGGAGCACAACAGGCAGAACTACCAAAATACACTGCTATGGGGTGCAGTGTGTGGGTCAGGAGAGGTCTGCCACGCCATGTGGGTCAGCTCCTGGGCGGGGGATCAAACTCATGCTGCAGTGGCTTCAGCGAGCTTCATAATGCGGTGCTTTAACCTGCTGCACCACCAGGGAGAGCCCTATACTTTTATTTCATTTTGATGGCAAAGTCTTTCTACCACAACACACCGGGTTCCCTGCATCAGAGCAAATACCAGACTAGATGTTTCGTCAGCTAATTTGAAAACTCAGCTTCTACAGCATCTTTCTTGGTGAATTATGTTCATTTACGGATTCCTCTCGGGTTATAAGTGGTGGTAAGTATGACTTCCTTTCCAATAGAGGACAACCAGTTTTATACTATTGAATTCACCAAGCTTTTTCTCCACAAGGGCAGCACAAACTCCTAAATAATAAAGCTCAGGGTCCTGTCACTGGGTAAATGCCCCCTTTCAGGTATCCACCAGAGAAGTGGGAACCTTACAGCTTTTGCCTTCTTCTGCAGATCAACTATTTGCGACAGCAGGTGTGTGATCTCCTCTTGCTGACGGGCAGCATCTTCGGTCTTCTTGGCCAGTTCCTCTGAGAGGCTGGCAATCTGCACGTTGGCATCCCCTTTGACCAAGGAATATGACAAAAGCTAGTCAGAAAACCCTTCCTGCAGACTCAGAGTGAATGGTTTCCCTGTCATTTGTACAGAAGGAATGCCCTCACGACAACATGGGGTGGGGAGGCTGCAGGGGAGCAGCGGGGCGGGCTCTGTGAAGGGCTGTGTCCCTTGGGCTCAGTCTGTCCTGAGAAAGAACCCAACCTCCCAGCGTGGCTCCCAGGCCCAGTGGCTGAACCCCGACCTGGGTGGTGTCCCCGGAGACCAGGCAGGCCTCAGGAGTCTGCTGGGAGGTGCCACCCGACAAAGGTCCTGGCCAGACCCCCACTTCCCACACATAAGCAGCAGCATTAGGAACAGGAAGCCCCGCTGCACCCTGTTCCAGAAAGGAGCTGCGGCGCCCTGCGCTCACGTCTCTACTCACAGCCACAGCTCTTCCTATTGGATCTGAACACAGGGTGATTTATTTACCTAGTATCTTGCTGAAACACAAGACAACCTGTCCTTTGGTCTTCAATTGCAACCATATACGGGGGAGGGGCCGGGACTTACAGGGCTTTGAACAGTGGAGTGTGAGCTGCACAGCTCCACTTATATGTGGATTTTCTTATACACAGACTGTGGTATCGGTACACCCAGGACAGAATTACAAATGTGTTTGCTTAACATTTTCTTTTCTCTAGCTTACTTTACTGTAAGAATACAGTATATGACACACAAAATAGGTGTTAACTGACTGTTTCTGTTATCAGCAAGATTAAGTTTGGGGGAAGTCAAAAGTTATACAAGGATCTGTGCCTGTGGGGCTGTGGGGTGCGGTCAGTGCCCCAACCTGTTCACCGGTCAACTGTGTTTGCCAAGCTGAGGCTCTGCAGCTGGGCTTAATGTGGTCATTATGTAATTCCAGTATTCCATTAGAAAGTCAAAATTAAAATCAAACATCCACCCCATGAGAAAGAAACTAGACAACATGCACTGACAAGCTAGTCCCGAATTTGGCATAAACCGGGGTGAGGGCTGCCGCACGAGATCAGGAAGGTTCTGGCCGTAAGAGAAACGTGACTGCGGCCAGGCTGGCAGAAAGACACCCTTCATCAACAGTGATGCAAATCTGTCCAGTCACAGAGACCGCAGGTGGAGAAGCAAAGAGGCAGTGGTGGGCGGGAGAGCCGGGAACATACTCAGCTCCTTCACGCAGTCGTTCACCAGCTGTTGCTCCTTCTCTTCATAGGTGATGGTCTCTGTCTTCAGCTGGCAAGCCTGTGGGCGAGACTCAGGTCAGGGGCCCTGCACGGACAGCTGGACTGGTGGGGCGGGCAAGGCCGGGCCATGGAGCACTCTCTGGGAGGTCACCCTTTGCCATCTCCCCACCTGTCACCTGCGGTACCCTCCGCTACAGAAAACCAAGTGGAATTCCTTCCCTGCTTAAATTAATGAATCTCAGCTTTTCAGAGCTGAGAAAGGTTGACCACCAGAGGGCGCCACAGAAGGCGGTGTGCCCCTGCTCTGGGAAAGCGCACACCAGCGTCTAGACGTGGAGCCCTAGGCCTCGGGGCATGCAGCCCAACCAGCACTTCAGGTGCTGCTCTGCCTGCCGCCAGCATTCTGAAGATGACAACAGATGGGAAATGCTTCCCATAAACCTACTTTGTGCCTGGCTGTGTCCGATAGGGTTCTGAGTGGCATTAAGCCCACTGTATTCAGCTGAGTGAAAACTAGTACAGTATGCAAGCATTAACATTCAGAGACCCAAGAGCTATCACATGACTCTGGATAATTTGTGCCAGCTGAAGGTAGGAAGATTGAACTTTAAGGCCTGAAGAAAATGACCCAGTTAGACAGGCCCTGTCCCAGAGAAACACTGCACTCTGCAGGCTGGCTGCAGCAGCTGGCATGTGTGCCTGGGCAGGCTCCCTCCACCTGCAGTAGGAGCAGACTGAGGGGCGAGCTGTCCTGAGCACAGGGCTGGAACACCTGCCTGGGGCAGATGCCGGCAGCGGACGCACCACGTGGAGGGGGGGCCGCGGGCTCCTGGTCCCCCACTAGAACATGACCCTTTCCTCGTGCCTAAGAGCATCCAGGTAAGCCCAGATGCGGGCAGCCCAAACTTAAAAGCACAAACGCACTGGTAAGTAAGACAGCAAGCACTCAGTTGGCGCGCACCTGCGTCCCAAATAGGGACGGTGAGGGGGTAGCAGGGGCCTGGAGTCACAGCGACTCGCAATCCTGCTTCCCTCACTATCTGCCACAACCTAAGGAAACGAGCACACCCAGAGGCTGCGACCTGGTTTCCTCGCTGTCGATGAGAATCAGAGCAGCCAGCCTCCAGCCTCGCAGAGATTTCCAAAAGCGGGCGCAGGCAAGTGGCGACCAGTGAGGAGCCCAGGAGACACTCCAGGCATGAGTGAGTGCGCTGAGCCAGCTCAGCCTCCTTGGCGAACTGTCTAAGAGGGCGGCTTCAAGTCCCTGTTGTCTGACGCAGCAACAAGGAAATGCTTCCGCCCAAGGGCCTGCATGTCACGTCTGTTGGTGCAGAGCACACGTGGAAAGGCCTGACTGCAGGAGCTTTGGCGCGGCTGAGGGAGGAGCGTTTACGCTCCGGCCCATCCTGGGCGGCATAATTCACGGTGCGTCTGTCCAGCCTGGCGGGTGTGTGCTGACTGGGGAAGCCAGACCCCTGGCTACTTGAGGCTCCCCGCCGGGCACTGGCCGCAGTGTGCGCTAAGGTGAGCGGCCGTTCCAAGGACTGTGGGCTCCGTAATCAGGGCTCTCTGGCCAGATGAAGCAGACAGGCTGCCACCCTCCCAGGAGGGGCAAGGGCAGGGAGTATACGTCACCTCAGACCGAAGTACAACGTTCTCCTCCTCAAGATCCTTGAGCTTCTTTTGAAGTGAATCCAAGTGAAAGTAATTCTGGACTGAGGACGAGGACTCATTTCTCTTCAATCTGGGGGAGAAAGTGCCTTTACTTTCCGGAAGCCATTTCCTCCCACTCTCTGGAGGCCAGGGGACTGCCCCTCCAGGGAAGCCAGCACCCGATGAGGCCCAGGGACCACCACATCAGACCTTCTGTGCACAAAGTGCAGCTGCTGCATAACCTTCAAATTCAGGGGAATCAACTTTATCTGAAGCCTGCATAAATCAGGGGAGCTGGGAATTTGACATCCAACACTCCCACATGCAAAGAACTGCTTTAAGTACTTTGCATATAACTCGTTTAATGCTCATAACCCTAGGAGCTGAAAGTACTATTATTATTTCCATTTTACAAATGGGGACACACGCACAGATAGGTTAAGCAGCCTGGCCAAGTGCACACAGCGAGTAAGCCCCTCTGCTCAGGGCACAGGGCTTCTAGCGTGTGTTCCTTACAGGAGGCTTGGCTGACTCTCACTGATGCATCTCGTCTTCTGTCCCGCACCTCTGACTAAAGAACCTCACATATACGCCCACAGCACCGCCCACCCTGCTACTCAGGATGTGCCAGGCCAAACCAACCTAAGCTGGCAAGTAAGACTGAAGGCCCAGTAAGAGGAAAAGTCAACCTTGTCTTTCCAAGCCCACTAAAATAGAATCATCAACGTGTTGCGGCCACTTGGAGACGCCTGGCCTGGAGAAGGCTGGGAAGGCTGACCTGCACCGCTGGGAAGGTGACCTTGGCCAGGCAGCTGCAGCTGCCCTCTGCTGACTTACGGTGTTGAGCAAACGGATTCGGGCTCGCTCTCCTCCGCGGCCCTGGTGTAGAACTGCAGCAGCTCGTCCTTCAGGGACAGCTCGTGCCGGAGCTGAGACACCTGCGCAGAGTGGGGAGCCGTTACTCGCTGCCCGGATGTGACCGCGCACGCCTCGTGCTCAGGCACTTGCTGCTTAATGACAAGGTTTCCAAATTCCTCATTAAAAGAGAAGGACATAATTGTGCTTTTCAAAGAAAACTAAGGGTTCGATTTGACCCTACCTAAGAAAAGTACCATCAATTACGGCTTAGAAGAAAACCCTGTCAAAATTTATGATTTTCCCTTTGGTACAGAGCCAAGATGAGAAGGCTTGGGAGTGATCCCGGGGGAACAAGGCAGTTTATGGGTTTTGTAAGTAACCAGATGACCAACCAGAGAAACAAGATCATGTTAACAAATGAAAGAAGAAAGCAAATGCCCCCTAGAACCAGCACCTTGGCACTGCCAGCCTTGGGTGGGTGGTGACGAGCAGCTTGTCAACTCGCCTGGCCCTGATATTGGGGAAGCTCTTGGCCCCACCCTGTGACCTCTGCCCCCGCCCAGCCCCCTTCCCCCAGCCAGGCGGGCAGACCTTGCCCTGCACTCAAGGGTCATGAGATAGGAATTCCAGGTACTGGGAGAAAGGATGTGGCCACCAGCCGCGGCCACGCCAAACACAGCTAGGTCGGCTGTGCAAATCACGCCACAATAAATAAACCATAAAATGAGCCCTGTCTTCCCACCAGGCCGCCCCGACGAGCAGGAATTGACACTGGAGGCCAGAGCTGCAGCCGCTGCTGTGTCCTTGCTCTAGTTTGACTGGGGGGCGTGGGGGCACCCCATTTTCTCCACACCAAGTGAATATATTTTCTCTTTCAGAGAGACGGCTTTTTTCAATGCCTAGACTGATCATTTAACGATGTGCCAAAGGGCACATATTTTCCAATAGGAAAGAAAAGCATCTCCATTCCCAGCGCAGAGGATCTCTTGGTGTGAGTCGAGGAAACGCCAAGCCAGGCCGGCTGCGTGGAGAAGCAGCACACGGGACAAGGGTGGCCATTTACTGGCTCTGGGCGGCAAGTCCCTCCGCTCGGAGGGGCTGAGAGAGCTGCAACTCCCTGAGAGAGGCGGATTCAGGTCACGGAGCTGGGCACAGGGAAGGCGGGTCAACGTTGTTCCTCCTTAGCACCTTCTAGAGAATGTCCAGGGTTAAAGCTTTTTCTTATATAGTGGCAAGTCTACTGCGCCCCGTTAAAACTTTCATTAGACTCAGAGAGAGACAAAGAGCTGGCGAGAGCCTTCACAAGGAAAATGTCTGAATCCATCTCAGGGACATGATGAGGGGATCCCTCCCAAGAGTTTCTGAATGAAAATAAGGGACGAGAAAGAAAGGGGAGGAAAGCAAAGTCCTTAAGGCTAAAATTCACTTTAAAGCTAGGCTAGTAGGAAAGAAGCCACAAAGTGGGGGCTGGCCCTGAGCACGAACCCCGCCCCCCACCCCAGCCCCATCTCCTGCCCACACCACAGCCCACCCCGAATATTAGAGCTGCTCCTCGAAAGCCTGGTCCCTCAAATAAGCCTAACGCGTTCCCATCCCCACCCCTCTCACCACTGATGCCCAGAGCCAGGGTTTGCCTCGTGAAAATAGCAGGGTTTCTATCATGCAAACAATAGCTTCTATCATGAAAACAATACACGACTTTTTGTTTTGTTTTACAGACACAAAATTATATTGTAAGGACGGCTGTGCAGCAGCTGCTTTACTCTGCAGCCTAGCTGGCCTCCTGACAGGACTCTTTCTCTGGCTGCCCACACCCCCCAACGCGGGACTCCCCACGCAGGACTCCCCCCTCACTGTATCCGTCTGGGTGAGCATTTGCCAGGCGCTGTGTGTCTCCACGCCCGTGCCACGGTCTGGACCCTGGGAGGACAGGCCCTGTAGGGACCGGGCACGACGGGCCTGGAGACCTCGCGGGGCTGTCCCAGCCTGGCCATCCGCCCACACTGTCAGAGGGAGACACGGGCCTTGGCACCGGACATGGGACCCGTGAGGGCCCCTCTGACTGGGACCCCACCGGTGGCCCCTCCTGGCGCGCCTGTGGCCCATCCCCCCACCCCCCCAGGCTCAGCAGCTGACCTCCTCTCTGATGTGCTCCACTTGCTCTTCCAGCAGCTCGTTCCTCTCGGTTAGTGTCTTGTTCTTCTTCAACAACGACTGGCCAATCCGAGCAGCCAATTCTAAATCCCGCTCTTTCTATGAAAGGCAAGAGCAGAGATTCAAAAACCCTGTGCTTTTTGGAGCCAGCGGTGCTCAGTGTTCACCGACGAGAACAAGGGCGTTTAGAAATAACAAAGGAATTAATAATTCACCGCCGTCCATGTCAGCATTCAATACCCTAATAACGAGAAGGAGACATCGGTGGTGGGACTCCCAGGGGGAAACCATACATTGTACAAAAATGAAGGTCGATGCAATGAATATATTTAAAATAAATAAATAAAAATGGAGGTAGCAAATACTGAAAATCATTTCTCATTTAAAAAAAGAGAGAGAGAGACGTTAAGCCACCTCAAGCAGGAAAGGGAACCTGCGAGCCTAGTGGAAACAGTATTTTTCTGTAGGAAAACGTCCCTCTGAACACATCCCTCTGCCGCTGCTGAATTCCTGGTCACAGCGTGGTGCCACCTCTTGCCCAAGGCTGGCGTTGTGCTAGGACACCCAGCACCAGGAAGCTATGTGCTGGAGGAATGAACAAACATTCCAAAGCGCTCTCAAGACAAAGTCAAGTGCTGACACAGGAGTGCAGCCTCTTCACTACTGACTTACTTCTATTTGCCTTGCAGGAACAAACGTGCTTCGTTGCTCTGAACTAAAACCACAGGTTTCTTTTCCTAACGGAGATTACACAGGCTTATATTTAAAAAAACAAACAAAAACTTTCAAAATAGAGAGGCACTGCATAAAGCTAGCAGGCTTTCAGAGGCAGACTGTGTTAAGGTGCTGCAATAGAATTTTCTGCTGGTTCAGCTGATGGCAAAGCACTATGGAAGAAAATCTTCTGGGGCACATAAAGACACAGCTGCTTCACGAGATGTCCCCTGACAGTGGGGGCGGCGGGTGGGCACCATCACCACAGCAGACTGACCTACCCTGCGGAGGGAATATCAGCCACTATGGTAGGATTCAATTACCTCAGTTGGACAGAAGAAGAGAACTATGCAAAATTAAATTATTTCAGAAGTTTACTCCGTTCTCTCACTTGGTATAAAGCGCTGCTGAATGGGGGCAGGTAGTTTAGAGCCGAAGAGGAGCTGGGGAGAAGGCCTAACTGATCAGCTATTCTCTAATCTCGTTAGATTCAGCTTAACCAGGACTAGGTACATTCTGGTTTCTCAAAACACAGGTTAGATGTGTTAGTAGCTTGAGAAGTGGCTGAGTAATAGCAGCTGCTCCAAATACCTGCACACCTGGGGAGATCCAATTCCCTCAACTGTTAGGTGGGGGCAGTTGGAGGAGCAGGTTCACTAAGACACCCCTGTAATGAAAGAGCCTCCCAGAGTTGCATGATTTAAAAAAAAAAAAACAACAGCTTTTATTTCTGACTTCTTTCATCTCCACCCAATTACTCAACGCAGCTCCCACGGACCCTCCTCCTCACAGGAGTTCAGAGAAATGGGCAGAGCCCTGAGGCCAAGGCACAGTTTAGGAAGACTCTGGACTCCACAGTGACCGGACTCTCTCCTTAGGTCTCCGCAGTCCTGATACCCACAACTGCACCCCCACTGTCCTGTAAGCCAGTACGGCGTCAGAACAGGTGAACCACGGGTACCTCCAACTCATCCCCACTTTGTGTCTCCCTGTCAAGCCTTCCCAGGAAATTGGGGGACCAGTGAGTGTGCCCACGTGCCAAGAAGCTCACTGCGGCACACTCATCCTTGCTAGCTGCAGCATCTACCAAGGAGGGCCTTTATCACCCCTCACACCGTACTTATGTGGTACCTGGAGGGAAGATCCGGAGGGGTTTTTGTGAGGAAAAGATCCAAAGGGATTTTCTCCAGGGACTAGCCCAGAATCAGCCTCTAGCGCGGGTGGTTTTAGCTGGCTAACACTCGGTTTCCGGCCGTACCAGTTCCCTTTGGAGGTGTGATTTCCACAAACCTAACTCAGATTGTTTTTTCAAAAAAGATTTATTTTTACTTATGCTTACAAGAACTGGGGTGTAGGCCAGAGGTGCAGGGGTGGAGGGCAGTGAGAGGATACACCAGAGAGAGCGGGGAGCAGAACAGGCAGCTCCACTGAAACACACTGCCGAAGGGAGCGGGGGACCAGACAGGAGAGGGCTGCTGGGCCAAGGGTCAGTGGTGGCTGGAGACAACTCGGTAGCGCTGAGGCCCTATCTCAGATATTTAAAGTGCTCAGGCCACTACCGAGCGGGGCTTCCCGCTCATCAGGCTGCAGCCCTGCTGTTCTGTGTTGCCATCAGGCGTGGAGCTGCTGAGTTCCAACCAGCTCAGGCTCTTGGGCAGGCCCCCTCACACGTGAAGGATGTCGGGGCTCCTGTCAGCACCCATGGTAAGTTCCAGAGAGGGATGGGAACCCGGCAGGCTGACCATGCAAGGCACTGAGCACAGCATGCGTGGTCCTCACCCCTTCCCATTCCACCCCACATCTCAGGTCCCAGGGCCTCCTCAGCTCCTTGCCCCCTGAGGGGAGCTCTCCTCTCATCAGCATGGGAAATCCAATCTTTAACAGAACGAAATCTTTGTACTGAAAAAAGAATTAGCATAAAAATGTTCATGGAGAAATTTTTGAAAGTTGAAAAGCTACTGCAGAGCCACTGGTTTTTCTCCCTAATTTTACCGAAGGGCACAGGCTGGTTGCATCACTCTTTGAGAACAGGAATGAAAAAAATGTCCTACTTCTTACAACCAGCTAATTTATAACCAATGTTTACTTTCAAAAACAAGAAAAAGGCCAGGAAAGGACAGACTCAATCACAGGGAGACGACGACTACAAACAATTCTGGCCACTGGAATTAAGCTACTGGAAGAGATGTCTTCTTTTACTCCCCAGCAAACGTGGCCAGGCGGAGCTGGTCCTGGCTCAGAGAACTCTGCCCCCTCCCCACTCCCCCCTCAACGTGGCTTTGCTTACAGAGACCCACAGGCCCCTTTGCCAGTGATCATGCGAACACTGTTCACTGCTGCCCGACACACCCCCTGGAGATGGCGAGCAGCCTGCTTCCCACACTCAGCAGCTGACTCATTTCATTCACCGACTCAGGATAAAGCATGACTAAGGGACCCTGGAATAGCCCTCTCCAAGAAAACGGGGGAGGAGGCATGCTTTGCCGGAAGGTAAATTCCCTGCAGCAGTGAGTCAGGGCAAGCCCAGGAATCCTCTTCTTCAACCCAGACACAAACTCTCCTCCCTGGCCAAGGGCCGGGTTTGGGAGGTTTAGTGTGCCCGTCCCCCAGAACCCAGTCTGGAGCACTCTGCCTGTGTATGACAAGTGCTCAAGCCCAAGCAATGACCCAAGAGTGGAGGAAGCCAAGAAAAGCACAGCACAGCCATCCTGCGGCTGGGCATGGAGACCTGACCAGGGGGCTCGCCCGGTTCCAAAGAAGACGTGACTCTTCTCAGGACAAGGAAGAGAACGGTGTCACAGTCAAAGCAAAGACAGGCACACACCCCTGCCAGGAGAGCCCCAGACCAAGAAGGCACAGTGAGAGCCACCTGGAGAGATGCCCCACAAGTGTCCAGGGCTCAGGAAGGAGACCAGGTGTGGGTGTTGAGGGGTGTGAGGCACAGGGCTCACAACACAGAAGCTGTGAGAATGAACAGAAAGAAGAGGAACTCCAGTCTCACTGCTGAGGCTCCTGGAGATTGAGGGGTGGTCTTGGGTAAAACAGAAGTACAGGCATGGGTCCCCTCTCAGGAGTCTGAATGACTGACTGGCTAAGGGGTGAGGAGTGGATGCTGGGAACCCTGTAAGATCAGCAAAGGGGCAGTGGTAAAGCATTTCAAGTCAGCGGTACCCACCAAGCCAGTCTCCCCCATGGGGAAAACCAGCTGCCCAGATGGTGGCAGCTGGCGAGCCCCCCAAAGCCACGCCTACAAGGCTAAGCCAATGCCCCCTTGCACCGCTGGAAACCAGGACCACTGTATCTGGGGAGAGTTTGTGATGTCTCTGCTATGTGGGTGATCAGAGACATCTCAGTGGGTCAGCTCCTGACCCCACTCCACTCAGCTGGGTCCACTGGGGAGTGGCTGGCATCAGGGGCTGGGGGTGGGGCAGTGAGCCGTCAAGATCTCAGAGAGACTTGGAAGGGCCCTCAGAGCTGGCGTGAGAATGCAGGGCATGCAGAAGGGAGGAAAACAGGGACAGAGACAGGGTGAAAAGAAGTCCTCCTGAAACCTGTGTCTCCCCACTCTGGCTTGGCCCTCTTCTTGGCTTCAGCCCTGACCTACCACTGCCTGAGATGCTAACAATGGTTTCGCTGGCTCCCATGTTATTCCCGTCTTCCTGCAGCAGGGCTAATGAGTAGTCTCTGGTCTAGAGTAGAAACAAGAGGCAACAGTTCGTCCTGTGCACTGAAGGGCTGTGGAGTGGTGTCAATCCATAGTTACTAAGATCCTGCACATTGTAGTCTGTTCCGGGCATGGGACACACACATGCAACCCCATTTACTTCTCAACCGCCAACATGCTGTTGAGAAGAAATTCAGAAACTCACAGTCTCTAAAATATCAGCTGCTCTACTGATACTGAGTAAGTTCCCTACATTTTTCTTGCCTGGCTTATTTTGGTTATTTGACACTGCGTAATATTCCCTTAACCCAACGTAAGTTAAAAACAAACAAAAAAACATTATAAAGGTATGGATAATGAAGCATTCTTCATTCACTTTTGTGAGTACACTTAAAAACAGCCAGTACAGGCCCCTGCCTGGTGGTGCAGTGGGTTAAGCACTGCACTAAGAAGCTTGAGCCACTTCCGCATGAGTTCGATCCCCGCCTGCCCCGGGGGTGACCACATGGCGCGGCAGACCTCTCCTGACCCGCCCGCTGCTCCCCTCAGCAGTGTACTTTGTCGATCTGCCTGTTCTGTTCCCCACTCTGTCCCTGGTGAATCCTCTCACCCTTCGCATCTCTGACCTGTACCCCAGTTCTATATGAATAAATAAATCTTAGAAAAAAAAATAGCCAGTACATATTTTAAGAATTTATTTTAAACCTTAAGGTATTTAAATGATACCTTCTTTTGCGTGACTAATGCATTTCTTCTTAAATCTGTAATACCTTCTACAAAGTTTCAGTTACTGGGCCACTAAATTATGCCCCTAGAGGGCCCAAATTCTGGCATTCTTCCCTTAAGTGTACAATAATAAAGGCTTTAGCCAATGTAAGTTTTATTACAAAATAAGTTGTACTACAAGTCAGTCACAAAAGATTAGCTGCCTTCCCCAAAACTTACCTCCTCGAGAAGCCGAGTGACAGCGTCTATGTCATTATATGTCTTAGTCATCTGGCCAACTCTTTCAGCGCATAAGACTGCAAGGAACAAACAAACAAAAAATGGCGATGAAGTCACTGATGACACCAACCTGCCAAGCAAATGACTCATCAAAAGTAGTAACACTGTTGTATATTTTAAAAGTTGCTAAGAAAGGATCTTGAAAGTTCTTGTCATAAGGAAATTTGTGACTCTGACATGTTAACCAGACAGGGTGGCAATCCTTTCCGGCCCTGTACAGACACCCACTCATTGCTGCGCACCTGGAACTAACCTAATGTTGCATGTACAGCTCCACTGAGAAGGTTTGGGGACCTAAAGAAAGGCCTGTACATTAGGACAGAGTCGCTGGTTTTGCCAAGCTCAACTCACTGGCACAGTTTCAGGGACGAGACCCAAGCTTTAAAGGGCAAGGGGGTAGGGAGTGCTTTCTAATGTCTACAAAGCCTTGACATTGTGTGTGTGTGTGTGCATACATGTATGTTTAGGGGTGCTGTTAAAGGCAGGGTGCTGGAATTGGCTAGTGGAATGGGTGATCATGCTGGGCCCTAATGTCTATGTTGACACAGTGTGGCCCCAAATGGTCTCTGCCCCAAATGGTCTCAAATCCAAGGTTGTGCAACCAGTTTCCTATTGTGAAAATTGAGAATCTTTGTTTTTCTTCCATTTCATTTGTTTCAAATCCATGCCCAAAACACTACTATAATACTGCTCCATACATACACACACACACACACAGAGATTATTTCATTCCTAGATAAACGACTGTGGTCAGAAAAGGCTGTGTGCAGGCTACTTTAGGACTATATGTCTTTGTTCTCTTTCACCGCCTCCAGCATTGCAATGAAAGAAGGCTTTAGTCTGCTGGAAAAATCTCAGGGTGTTTTATTCTACATCAGCAGCAAGGAATAGATTTGCAGTTCAACAAACACCAAGAAGATAGTGGCAGGGGCTTGACTCCATGGAGGAAGGAGTGAATGCAAATGGATTTAAGGTCAAAATGTACAATTTTTTTTGAGACCTGCCACTGGTGGCTAAAAAAACTTCTCAGTAATTCTTCTTAACCTAGACTCTCAAGAAAAATTCTTTAAGAGTCACAGACTTGGGTCAGCTTTCACACCGACCCATATTCAGTAACAGCCCATGCAAGGCAATCGGGAACTGAAGTGTGTAAGTAAGCCAACTCATGAGCATTACTAAAGACACACCGCAACTGGAATGCAGTAGGCCTCTAAATATTTTATTCAGTGCAAGCAGAGATCATCCTAGGGAATGAGCTCAGAGAAATCTGATCTGTTGGAATGATTTTCTCACTTAAGGAGCAGACCTGCAATCTGGTTCCAAATCTGAAACCTGAAGAACACAGAGCTCTCAAGACCCAGGAGAGAGGGGTTCCTCCTCCCATTTCTCCACTCCACACTTCATGCAAGACCTGCCTGCGGGAGGAAAGTGCACGCTGCCTCTTGCACAGTCCTTCCCCGCCTGTCCACAGAGGCTGCCAGGTCAGGGAAAGGCAGGAGAGAGTTGTAAGGGTTGCTTTAAGCCAGAATTTAATTGACTGTAGGTGGAGTCTGGTTCAAAGTGCTCCGAATAGTTCATCAGCTCTAGTCAGGAGATGTCCTTAAGTGAAGACCCACACTGAGGTCAGGGTTCATCTTAAGGCTGTAGCCCATCCCGCAGAGGCAGGCAGAGGAGCCCTGCAGCCAAGGCCAACCTCGGAAGCATGGACATTTCCATTCCTTCCACTAGAAATGGCCCGCAGCAGTTAGAAACGACCTGTGTGGAAACCTCACGGAGGATGGGGGAGCTTGAGCTCCCCAGCTAGCTCCCCCGAAGGACCAAGTCCTCTGTTGTGCTGGAGCAAAAAGAAAATCTGGCCACATATGAACTGATTTGGCTCTAAATCTGTCACCCTAAAACCTAAGAGAACAAAATTTGGACTTGTCTTTTCCACTGGGCTTGTATTTATTTTAAAGTATTTGTTTATTTATGCATACAAGAATTGAGGTGTGGGCCAGAGGTGAGAGGATGAGAGGATTTACCAGAGAGAGAGACCAGGTGGGGAGCAGAACAGGTGGACTGACTGAAATACACTGCTGAGGGGAGCAGTGGACAATAAAGGAGAGTCAGCATCTTGGCCGGCCAGGACTGAACTAGTGCTGCTGTGGCTGCTGACAGCTTGCAAAGAATTGTGTTTAACCTCTGCGCCACCAGGGAGGCCCCCACTGGGGTAATCAGAAATTACACTTAAAACTTTTAAACCACTTTTTCAAATTGTAATCATTGTGGCTGGTTAATCATGTGCAGATAATCCTTGCAAAGATAAGAAACAACAGAAAAGAGATCCCAGTTTACACATGCTGCCCAGTTTTCCCCACTGGTAACATTTTACAAAGTTACATCACAACCAGGGTACCACCACTGATTCAATCCATGGATCTTACCAAGATTTCCCCCAATATATCTGTACGCATTTGTGTCTCTGTGTGTGCATGCACGTGAGTATTAAGGTCTGTACAAGTGCACTGTGATTCAGCACCAGAAGGATCCCTCTGGTTGTGCTATTTAAGGCTGATTTTCAATGCTTTAAAATTGAACCCAATGAAATGGATGCCTGTGGTTTCTCCAGCACTAATACCTATCGGGCTCCTATTGTCACCACTCCCACAGGGACAGAAGGCCAGGTGTGCCCTTTCACCACCAGTTAGGGGTGTGGAGAACTCTCGAAGTCCAGGGCTTAGAGCCTGGCTGCAGATGTCACAGGTAAAACAAACAAACAAAAACACACAACTACTGACACCAACTTATGTGCAATATTATTCCAGTAATGTTTTCAAAGTACATGCAATCCCAGTTGGGGTGTGGGGAGTGAAGAAAGGCACAGGTTTATAATAAAATTATAAATTATAAAATTTACAGAATTACAATTAAAAAGTTAGGAAGGCTGAAAAAATACTGACAGTTGGATGGTATTACAATTCTGTGCGTTATCATTTTTGGGGGGATAGCAACCGTAACTGAAAAGGAAATACTACTTAAACTATTTTTCTAGAAAATACACAGCTCTCTACAACACAGGGCCCCAGCAACACCCATGTAAGGTGACTTTTAAGGGCAATGAGTAACCCCAGCAGTCCTGTGCTGGGAGCTGTGGCCAGGCAGTGTCCACACCTGTGTGGGGATTAGGTCACTCCCCAGAGCAACACTGCCAGTCAGCACACCCCACTTCACAAATGGGAGACTGAGGCGCAGCAAAGTTAACCGCTGGCCCAACGTCACACAGGGAGCAGAGACTCTCAGAGTAAGAGGAGACTCCTAGCACGGGCAGCAGTTAACATCTATGGGTCCCTCCTGTGTCCAAGGATTTAATGTGCTTTCTCCATTAACCCTCCCACAGCCCTGCAGGCTTGCTCTGTAAGGGTGACTACTCTACACTAACAGTGAAAAGACTGAGGTTCCCAAAACTTAGGACCAGACAAGGCCAGAGCCAGTGAGAGTAGGGGCAGGGACTGAATCTGGACCAGTTCAGCCCCTCTACTAGACCAGGGATCATAGAGGAGGCAGGGCAGGGCAGGTCTGGCCCACGTCAACTGTGGTGAGGCAGCACAAACCCAGCAGGAAGCATGTGTGACCCCAAACTCAAGACAGATTTGAACAGGAGCCTTCATCAAGGCCTGGAGGCCCTGGGCAAACCCCACAATGGCTGGGTCTTGGGATTCCACTTCCAAGAAATGAGAAAGTATGGGTCATACCCATAAGGGTGAGAAAAATCACAAACAGGCCTTTAACAGGAACACAAGTTGAAGTTCCTAGACAACTCTCTAGACACTCAATCTACAGTAACTGTGGTCAGGCTTCTCTGTCCATGAGAACAGTGTCCCAGGACACTGCCCAAGGGAAGTGCTAGCAAATAAATCCACTTCCACCCAAAAATGCATTAAGAAAAAATAAAATGTGAAAGAGCTACCGCTTCTATAATTAAGCTTTATGTGAGAAAACTCTGCCCCAACCCCAGAAAAGCTGCTCTTACAATGCCGGCTACAGGTCACTCTACCCCTCGCTGCCTGCGGGAGGATACGAGGCAGCATTCTTCATCAGGCAGTAGGAGACCACAGGAAACACCGTGTGTGGTGGGGGGGAGGGAGCCTGAGGGGTTCAAGGTGTGTGGGCCCCTTGAAGGAGACTGACTGAACTTTACCATGGGCAAGTAGGAAGACACTGGAGGGTTTTCGAAGGGAGAGTATCCACATGAGAACTGTAATTCACAAGACATTCTGGCTACCGTTCCAACAAATGGGGATGGGAGGCGGGGTGAGGGGTACCAAGGCTGGTCATTAATCCAAAGGGCAGAGGAGACAGAGAGAAGTCGTCTCTTTCAGGTCTCAGAGATAAGATCAATCAACAAATACCGGCCTGGGCTTCTCACCATCCTGGGAGACAGAGCATGCCATTCAGGGGGGCAGAAGGTCAGGTGCCAGAGGGGTGCGCCAGCATGGGCCGCAGTCAAGACAGCCTCTGTGGTGGCTGTGGAGGAAGGTGCAGAGCAGGCTGCTCCAATCCACAGCGACAGGGGCCCCCCTCCCCAACCCTGAAGGCTGGGGGGCTAGATCGTATTGGAGAAAACCCCCTTTGAGATGAGACGAGAACCGAGGCAGGTGTAACAGTGAAGCCAAACTGGAGTAAGTAGCCCCAGGCTGGCCCACCCAAGAGGCCATCTGTGGCCAGACTGTCACAGCTTAGTGGGGTGGCAGGGTAGGGGGTAGGGTAGGAGCTACATGGGGGACTGGTGTCTGAAAATGAGTAACGTGACTTTGTTGTAGTTAAACTGTGCTCAAAATAATGTGGACAACAAATGCTGGCTGGTGTCCATTTTTATCTCCTGGTCATGGACATTAGATGCCAGCCAAGAAATCCCGGAGAGCCCCGAATAGAAAGGAGGCCCTGCCTGTTGCCAAGGAGATCAAGTCAAGGGCAAGCTCGAGGGCGGCTGGAATCGAGATACAGGAGAAACCCCCGAAGGGAAGAAGATCACAGGGAG